CCCCCCCCCGCAGCCACACCGATGTTCATCGGGGCTTTTTTCTCTCTACCCCTCCGCTCCCTACCGGGGGCTGTGTTTACCGTTCTTCCCAGGGTTTTCCCCCGCCCCCCGGCCCCTTTGCCTGAGTCCCTGCCGGCGCTGGGGCTGCGCCGACCTGTTTCCCCCTCTGCACCGCCGCGCTGATGCCGCGGGCAGCCCGAGGGGGCGGGTGGGAAGCGCCACCACCCTTACCAGCAGTCGAGGTCGCCTCGCGTTTCTCCGGCCCCGACCTGGAGCCCTCGTTACCGCCCGGCTTGTGGCGGAGTGCCGCGGTTCGCTCCGTGTCCCAGCATGGGCTGCCGCCGCCACCGCAGAGATTTAATTCTTGTTGCCGCGGCGGGTGGGCCCCGATCCCGGAGCGCACGGGAAACTCATCTCTTTGTTTTCCCCATCACAGCGCGGGGTGGCAGCCCCTTGTGCCCGGGCATTTCCGGTTCCCTGTGTCCCATCTAAAAGAGGTCGGGCAAGTGCCTTCGCCGTCTCGTCTTTTCCCTGTGCTCCCGGGTCCACCCCGCGCCCCTTCCGCTGTTTCACTCCCTAATGCTTGGCATTTGAAGATACCCATGTCTGTTATTTCTTATCTTAGCTTGTCTATCCCTGATTTGTAGAAAGTTTGTGAGTTGGCCAGCCGTGAATAGTAACTGGCCCCTTCTAAACTCCCAACTTACGAAAGAGCCCCCGTTAAAAGAAGCAGCCCGACCTCTGAATCCTTTGTCTCATCCTCCTGGAGTTTCCCTTTGTAGGAACAAACTGTGAAATATAACCCAGAAGAAGAGTCCCCTCTGCTCCTTCACTCGTTCGATGGACTTGTGCTCAAGGTGAGTCGGTGAGCTCAAATCCTGGTCCAAACCCAGACAGAAGTTCTGGCCAGGACCCCTCCTGGCCCCGATCCGGAGAGAAAAGAAAACATATATTTGAGCCAGCCGAGAAGCTCTGGCCCGGGTCAGTTTCAGACTAGTCTGGAGTTCGTTCTTGTGCCTGTAATACAAGTTCCTCAGTTCAATGGTCAGTGATGTAACTGCTGCTCACTAGAAAAATAAAATTTTATCCTTAATTCTGCTTTGCCATTATACAGACAAAAATGTAGCTCAAAAGTGCAACTCCACACCCAACTCAATATAAATGCAGTCCCTGCCAAAATAGTATTGTAGATGTATTTTCAAAAGTAAATGTAAATTAAAAGGTTTTCCTACCCAGAAAGATAAAATTGGGCAATGTTTCTTCTCTCCCTGAAGCCGCTGTGTTTGTTGGTCCTTTGACATTTGAAAACAGTGCCAATATTTTCTATGTGATCCACTTGCTAATGAAGAAAACCTCTAGAATGTAAAACATTAGTAACTAAGTGTCATAGAAATGTGGCAGATTTTTAGAGTTACCCAACTTCATTCTCTTGAAGCACATGAGCTTGCATGTAGAAACATTCAGTCCCGGAGTGACTGACTCAGAGTTTGGGGGTCTGTGTTTGACAGTCACCACGTGCTTGGTGTAACAGTGCACGTGTGCTTCATGGAATAGAAACAAATCAGAATGTTCTCTTAGTGTACAGTCATAGAAAAATGGTCTAATTTTTCCATTAGAAAATATGTAGTGATAGTCTCCTTGGACTAACGCCAGTGCTACCACAATGACTTCAATGCAGAGTATGAGGAATACCAAAATTTATATATGCATATTAACAAGCTCAAAGAGCACTTCACACAGCTTCAGGAACAATGGAAGACTCTGACTCCAGGCTCCGAAGCCTATCAGGTAAAGAAGGATAAACCTGTGAAGACTGTGCTTCATCACAGCAGTCTTTTGGATCTCCTGGAGCTGCTCAGTGAGATGCAGGGATACTGTGGAATTGGCATTTATGCTCAGACACTGCTTGGACTGGGTCTGATTTTTGCAAGACCTGGCCCATAAAACCCTGTTTGAGCTGTCTGAGAGCAAACTGAGTAGAGTGAGAGGTGTCCCAAGCAGAGTCTTAGAGCATATGCTCCTTCTAGTGCCTGTTGAGAGGCTTCATTGCAGATCTTGGGTGATGCTGGGAGTTGGGGATTTGTTTTTCAAACCTTCCAGAAGAGTGGTGGCTCACAAAGAAGAAAATCTCAGGAGTCAAACTGAGTGCACTGTAGTGTTTTAGCAAAGTTTGCATTTTATGGTGGTAGTAAACATTCTTTGTGTTTTTGTTTTGTTTTTTTTTCTTTAAGATGCTGCTTCATCAAATCCTAGCAGATTATCAGCAGATACAATAGGTATGTTTGACACTAGATCTGCAGGGCATGTACTGCTGAGTCTGGCTCAAGGCTTTTTTAAAGCAAAGCATGTCTTCTAAACTCTGCAGAA